CCCCCCAAAAAAAAAAAGAAGGAAAAAAAAGAAGGTGAATTTGAGACAACAATCTAGCTTAGTAAATGGTGGGCAAAAAAAAGGGAGGACATGCACAAATAGAGCAATGGCCCCTGTTACAGCAAGAACTGGCTGGGAGGGGAAAGGAAGGGATGGGTGGCCGAGGTAAAATGGTCGGGGGATTGTCGGCCTGACGACGAACCACAGGAGGAACCCCGGAGAGAGATGGAAAGAGACTACCAGCTGATCTTTCACGACTGGATCATGACCCCAGGGGCCGGGTGGTAGGATCTGGTGGGATACAGCCTGTCGCAACTCAGTCCAGTTCAAGTCCATTCAGCCATTTCAGCTATTTCAGCTACTTCAAGCTGTCCTGTCTACTCAGCTTCTCTGCTTACCTATGTTCTCTTCCCATCTGGTTATCTTTGCTTATCCTTGTTTATCTCTGTTTATCCCTGCCTATCTCTGTCCGCTTCAATGCATTCTCAGTTAGGTTTGTGGGTGAGCCATGACGACCATGGAGGAGCTACAAATCGAAGCAAATGAATGGCTGACTACCTTGGAGGAAGGACGCAGATGTCTACAGGTGATTGTGAGGGACATGTCTTTGCGGTTGCGAATAGAGCCAGAGGTCGATGGGGGAGCGACCGCTCTGTCTGAGTGGATAAAGGAGAAGAGCGAAGACATGTTGGAAATCATCTGGGTGCAGGAGGAGGGGCCGGATCCCCGGCTTGACGTCTGCATCGATTGGAGGAGGGCAGATGGCATTATGTCAGTTTGCAAAACCCTCTTTGAGGAGAGTCGCTATCTGTATGACCGTCTACATGAACGGCTGGCGGGCATCATCGATCGTGAGGACGAGCGCGAGGTGGCAGCGGCAACAATGGATGGGGGCGATAACAACATCAGTGACAATCTCGACGGTGGTGAGAACACCGTCAACAACAACAACAACAACAGCAACAACAACAACAACAACGACAACAACAACAGCAACAACAACAACAACAACAACAACGACAGCAACAACAACAACTACATCAACATCAACAACAACATTAATAACAATGATGATGACGATGACGGCGGCTACAACGACGAAGACGACAACGGCGGCCAAGTTCAAGGGAGCAACAGTGTGGCAATTCATATGTGGGTGGCTGAGAATGGCATCACCGCGATGGGAGGGATGGGTAGTGATGATGATGACAACATCGTTGAGCCGGAAGGGGCTTTCTCCCTCACCAATCTTTTCCTCTGTGTGGTTTGGTGGAGGTTAGGGGTGGGATAGATGGGGCTGATTGATATTGCCCGGCCTGCGATATCAATCATCGCCGGGGGGCTGATGGTGTGCCAGATCAGACATCTTTCGTCATTGATAGAACTTTGATTCTAGATTTGGTTCAAAAAAGGCCATATAAACAATCAATAATTTGACTGATACAGCAAACGGGAATGTATAGATTGTTTTGCTTATGGACATAGTTATACAACATGATATGGGGATGCTGGACCCGCTTTCCAGCAAATATAAACCACGTTTCAGCGAAACACATCAGAGCATGATTAGGGTTTCGGTTGGTTGTCCCAGATTTTGCTGATTCTATAGATTAGACTAACAGGGACGCTGGACCCGGTTTCCGGCACACAGATTCACATCATTGCACATGGACGCTGGACCTGATTTCCAGCACATACAATTTCATCAATGTATAGGGACGCTGGACCCGTTTTCCAGCAGGTGTAGCTCCCCACCAATAGATGGAGCCTTCGACGCCGGGACCTACTTAACGGGGATGCTCTTATCACCTTGTTAAGTAGGCTTCCCGTATATGGAGTTTTCTCAAAAAAAAAAAAAAAAAAAAAAAAAAAAAAAAAAAAAAAGGTTTGGAAGAGTACACTGGATAAGGGACGCTGGACCCGGTTTCCAGCACAATACTGGTTTATAAAGGGAGATTCATGGGACGCTGGACCCGGTTTCCAGCAGGCGATGCCTGCTTTCCCTGTTCTTCTTGGCTCCTTTTTTAGTTCTTTTGGGCCTGCTCAGTCAATCCCCTGGGTTGCTGGGTATTCAACGCTGGCAGGCCCCACATTCCTCACTTTTGCTCAGATATTTTAATCTTGGTATATGGGACACGGGACGCCGTGAGGATAGTAGGTGGAGGGCAGGAGCTAGGGGAGGGAGGGAGATTCCACTGGTGCCCCCTGGTGGTTCTCCCCCTAGTACCCGACGGTGCTGCAGGTTAGGTATGAAGGGAAAGGTTAGATATGGGACGCTGGACCCGGTTTCCAGCCCAAGGGCGTCTCTCTCAACGATGTATTGTTTCGTACTGTTTTGTACAGATGTATTTATGGGGGGGCGCTGGGCCCGGTTCCCAGCAGATGAGGTTCCCCACCAATAGACGGAGCGGCCCGCCAGGCAAAGCCTCAATCCCGGTGGTTCTCTGACACTTCGCACCTCACTTATCTTAGTGTCGTAGCAAGTAAGTCAAGCGGATATGATAGCTAAAACCTAGGCTAGTAGCCCCGATTATCCGCTGTCAGTCTCGAATGCGAACGCGCACGGTGTGTGCTATTGCAGTTCCTTCACACTCCTTTTCTAGTTCACGCTACCACGTGCGGACACCACTCTTATAAACATATCCAATGTTTGCCTAAAACCCATGCGTGCCCTCGAAGTGTATGCCCACATACTCTCTAATCAGATGAAAAGCGCGCGCCATTCCCAACCCCTGAGAGTTGGTTATGGTTACACAAAAATGGGACACTCTCTCGAATATCGTCAAAAACGCCCCTTCTGCAAGATGCAAAAATGTGCCCAAATACCCTTCTAAGGGTATTCGGGCCGACAACGCGCCGGTAGTTGTGGGCTTCGGGGCACCGAACCGCAATGGCTGAAAGCGCCAGCCAAAATCAAAACGAAACGGTGCCCCGACGACTCGACAAAACTTGGGTGCGCAGAGGGTATCCCGACTCGACATCAATAGCTGAGCCAAGTACTGGGGGTTTAAACCACCAGTACTTGGCTCAGCTATCGATGCCGAGCCTGGAATGCCCCTGCGCGCCAATTTGTGCCGAAATGTCGGGGTACCGTTTCAATTTTTTTTTGGCTGGCGCTTTCAGCCATTGTGGTCCGGTACCCCGAAGTCCTAAAGGCGCGGCTTGTTAATGGGGAAGCGCCGCGGCCGATAGCTGGGCCAAGGACTGGTGGTTTAAGTTTCCCTTCGAAAACTAATTTGTTCTTGTCATCCCAAATCACCGAAACCGATAGCGGCTTTATGAACGTGTGTGCTCCGTAGCCTAATCCTGACGAAGTCTAACAACTCCTCCTTCGTAGGATGCCCAAGCGTAGTCCAGTTGATGTAGTTCAGTGGTTGTCATCCCAAATCACCGGAACCGATAGCGGCTCTACGAACGTGTGTGCTTCGTAGCCTAATCCTGACGAAGTCTACCAACTCCTCCTTCGTACGATGCCCAAGCGTAGTCCAGTTGATGTAGCTCAGTGGTTAGAGCACCGGTTGGAAATGCGCATTGTGGTATGAGGTTGCGGGTTCAAATCCGTAACCTTGCGCATGGACACCGACAGGGCGTTAGAATGACGCACGGCTGGACACACACCCCCTTGGGATGACGCATGTAAGCTATTACAGACACTGCATGTGCATGTGCACCACCCAAGGGTTGTTCATGGTGTTGTATGTTGGCTCTGGGTTTCACATGGGTTACTTGGGGGTGTTACTCTTGGGTGTTCTGTTGATCTCCCTTGTCTGGCATATCACACGTTCATGCCATTTCCACTAGTCGTTCATACGGTAGAGTCATACGATTACATGTTTCAAGGTCACGGGTTCGAGTTTGGTTCGGACCTTGAGGGGGGTCCCTGTCCAGCTTGCCCCGTTCTCTCTTCGATATACACACATGATCTGCCTATACATCTTGATACATTGATTCACAGAGCACACACAGCCTTTGGGCATGTACATAGCTTGCGAATTATACATGGTCTACGGCCCTACGGGCTACATACACACAAGTTTCCACACATAGTGTTGTCTGTACATCTGGATACATAAATACACGGAGCATACACAGCCTTCGGGTATACACATACATTGCGAACTACACAACTATCAGACTGGGGGGGTCTAGTCACTGGGTGGGATCTAGTGTCTGCAGTAGGGACAAGTATGGGCCACCGGAGTTCCTACTGATATTCGGATATAACTGTCTAGTGGCCATATATAAGGCTTAGACCCTGGGGTAAGGGTAGGGGTATAAGTCGCGCAGGCCAGTCCGAGTTCCGCCTGGCCTTGGGTAAGCTAGCGGAAGGACGGTAAGACTGCTTCAACGAGTGTTACCCTGTCTGAAACCTAGGGCCCAGAGTCTCTTGGGGCCTGTAGTAGATTGTCTGGGCCTGGCGTCCGAAGTTCCCGTTCGACAAGGATTGTCCGATTCTGCTTCCACCACGGCTGGGCAACCTATCAGCCCTGGTGCCTATCACTGCTGTTTGCTCCAAGTTACCTGCCCAATGGTAGGGTAATGGTCCTGAGTGCTGGTCACACTGAGGTAAGATAGTGGGATAGGGGGCGCGCTAGGAGTATTGACGTGAGGATGGGATGGGAGGTGGTCTCATATTCCAGGACACCCACGACCTACTGCTCCAGGTGATCACTGTGTACTCAGTTCCGACAGGGTTTTCTTGATTTGCTTTTGATGTATGCAGGCTTGTCTTGTCAGATCAGACAGGTTCATTAGCCGCTCTGTTCGTAGAATGTTTACGAGTTTGTCCCGAATCGTCAATAGTAGTGTAGGTACTTTTCAGGAGCCCTTCTGGTACACCTTTCCGATTGGTCCGTACTACGGGATTGTAGGACCGGTACCGAGTTTCTTCTTTTTTGGTACAACAAGCGTGCTTTTGCATAGGGTCATGTTCCTATAAATAGTATCAGTGCAAATTAGGTAGACCTCTTATGGGGTCCTTTGCTTTCCACTGCGTTATTAGCGTCGGCGGTAGCGAAGGAGGGTCAGTGGAACGTACGGTGGTTCCTGGGTGTTGCGGAAAGTTTCGACGTTTTCCTGTACTGTTTACAGGTTTGTACTTGTCACTTCTGTCTTGACTATCTTGACTTTGTCGCGATTCTCTTGATTTGAGTTGACTTACTCTGCATGTGAACGTTAGAGTGCATTCATAAAATATTGTTACTCGCGTGTGAACTATCTTCTACGTTCTCAATTTTCTTGGCCCAAATCGGTGGCCGTCTAAGGGGTCGAGCTGGGCGAGGGGTGCTGGGGCAGGGGCGTTGGGGTTGTCTTTGCTGATTAGTCTGCAGCAAAGGGTACTGAGAGTGGGGTACAGGGCTCCCCTCAGACACCAAGTGCCCTGCTGGGAGGTGGTCATCCATCTGCTCCTGGCTTACAGAGGATGCTTGGGGCAGTGGAGTTTTGTAAGGCCCACAACTTATCTGGACCGTAGGTTATGAGAGATCTTCAAAACCCAGCCTGGAGGTGTCTAACGAATGACGGGTCATCCCATTGTTGGTGTGCCTCCAGCATGTCCTCTTCGACAAGAATTTGTAGAAAGAGGGTCGATTCCTCTGTCGTCCAAGTGATATTCGACCGCAGTTTGGATGTGGGCATGTTCAACAATTGATGTTTGGTCATCCATTGCAGGTGGGTGAGAGGTTGGGCCTCCAACGCTATGGCATTATTTGGGGCGTCTTCTAGAGACTGTTCCTTGGACTGTTGGGACTGCTGAGACTGTGGCACTGGGGCAAAGGGGACAATATCCAGTTCGGGTAGATTCCAGTCGAAGACAGTTTCAGTCGGGCTATCTGAAACATCCGATTCGGAGTTTGAGATGCATTCGTCCAGATCTATATCGAGCCGTAGTGGACAACCGTCCCGGGGTGCCCCAGCCCCGAGAATCATGTTCCCTATTTCCGGGGCAGGTTTTATGTGTATGAGGGGCCTGAGGAGGTGCGTTGGCACCAATCTTTAAGGCCCTCTATCACCGGGGCTGAATCCTGTGAGTCCCCCATCATGACATTATCCAGCTCCTCTATTATTAGTGCCGGCCAGCTTGTCCCTTCCCAATCGATTGGCTATTGAGATGGATGTGGGTTAGCCGACTGCAGTGTTAATTGCTGCTCGGTTTCCGACTGCTGTTGGCTCATCTGTTGTCTCATTGTTCCGACTCCTTCCCTGAGCTCATAAATGGCATCTCTGATCTGTATTGCTACTACGCTCCAGTCAATCGAGGGGGGGTCGGGGAAGCTGTCGATATAGTGTGTCAGCGTTGCAGTGCTCATAAAGGCTCTCCGGATGCTCTCCCAGTGTAGAGGGGGGATGGTCATATGGGTCCCTTGAGCCAGGAGCCCCATGAGTAGAGTGTCTGTTATGACTTTAAGCCTTGCCTTGACTGACTTATCCCGTGAGAGTCTTTC